TTGGTGCCTATTATCCCTTCTTTCCCTCCAATTTGTCCCATTTGTAATGGAAATGTCTACTTTGTGCCTGTTCTATGATTGCACTTTGGAAATAGATAACTTGTGGTCTGGATTTCACATATTCACAGATGAAGAGGATTTTAGCCCCAGGATGCACTATGTCTAAATTCTCACCCATATTTAATTTAGATGATTCAGAAGTCAGATTTTTGGACTTGGAACCGATTAAGACTTTTGGGATGATGTGATGGACTGAATGTGTTTTGCACGTGGCAAGAACATGACATTTTGGGCCCAAATGATGGAATGCTGTGGATTGAATCATGTGTTGTAAATCCTAACCTCTTTGTTTGTGATTATAATCCCACTTGGGAAAGGGTTGTTCTTGTTACTTTAATAAGGCAGGATTGGTATAGGGTGTATCTTGAGTCAATCTCTTTTGGATATAAAAAGAGATAAAATAAGCAAGAAAGAGAAGCAGAGAGGGGGTAAAATAGATGTCAAGACTCTTGGAGGTCTCCAAGGAATCAAGAAACAAGCTGAAAAGACCAAGACCTTCCTCCAGAGCCAACAGAGGAACTCTGGTGGCATAGTGCCTAAGGCATTTGACTGCTAATCAGAAGGCTGGTGGTTCAAACCCACCAGCCACTCCTCAGAGGGAAGGCTGGGCAATCTACCATAGTGATACTGTCTCGAAAACCCAAGAAGGGGTCACTATGAGTTGGATCCAACTCAATGGCAGTGAGTGAGTCTAGAGCCAACAGAGAGAGAAAGCCTTCCTCTAGAGCCAGAGCCCTGAATTTAGCCTCCCAGCCTCCTAAACTGTGAGAAAATAACTTGTTTGTTAAAGCCACCCACTTGTGGTATTTCTGTTATAGTAGTACTCGATAACCAAGACACTGGTTTAAGGAAGAAAGAGGCAGGGATTTGAAATGAGAAGACGCAGGTTTGAGTCTTAATTTCACCAGCCATGGGATCTCGGGCAATTAATTTAATCTTCACCTGAGAATTTCAGGCCCAAATCATAGTGAGCTCACAGGGTGGTTTAAGAGGAAATGGGATGATGTGGATGGGGGTTCTTTGTAAACAATTCCGGGGTGTCCAGGGATGGTCTCTGTCCAGAAAACGCTCTTGCTCTCAGGTTAAAACCAACAATGATGAAAAGCTGGTGTAGCACAGCCTGCATCCAGTATCAGAAAGGGGAAAGCCACCTTCACACAGCTTTCCTCCTGCACTGTGCATTTTGGCTTTTATTCACCTCATTTTACCCCACCCCCCATTACCCTACCTCACCCTGAGTCTTCTAATTACTAAACACGTTGCAAACGATCAGCACTGTGGGCCTGTTAGCATGATGAATGGGCAATTAAAACTACATCAGCAATTACACCAGCTCCAAATTTGCCATATTCAGCCCTGGCAATGTGTTCTGTGGTTGGTCACCCTTTCAGTCAGAGGAATGGGGTCCTTCCGCCACAGAAACGAGCACCCTGTCAATCTCTGCTTCTCTGCGGGGCCCCTGGAGCCCTGCATACCTGGGGTGAAGTTGCAGACAAAGCCTCTCCAGAGTCCCCCAGTTCCATCAGACAAACTGACCTACCCCTTTAGGGGGGAAAAATTTATTATTAATTCGAGCTCATTGGCTGAATTGTCTAGCACAAATTATGAGAAAGCAAGGGGAATAGTCTCTCATAACAAAGTTTTATAAATAAGTCTCTTCACAAGATACATAAAAACAAACTAAATCCATTGCTGTCAAGTTGATTCTGACTCATAGCAATCCTATAGGGCAGAGTAGAACTGGACCATAGGATTTCCAAGGCTGTAATCTTTATAGCAGCAGACTTCCACATCTTTCTCCCAAGGAGTGACTGGCTGGTGGGTTCGAACCACAGACCTTTCTGTTAGCAGCTGATCACTTTATCCACTGCATTACCAGGGCTTCCACAAGAATATAATAAAGTATAATCAGTTGCCATCGAGTCAAGTCCAACTCATGGTGACCCCTGTGTGTCAGAGCAGAACTGTGTTCCATAGAGTTTTCAATGGTGGATTTTTGGAAGTTGATCAACAGGCCTCTTTTCTGAGGTACTTCTGGGTGGACGCAAACGTCCAACCTTGTGGTTAGCAACCAAGTGCATTAATTGTTTGCACTACCCAGGGACTCCATAATAAAGTACAATAAATGCATTTGTTGTTGTTGTTGTTGTTATGTGCCGTCAAGTTGGACCCAACTCATAGAGACCCCTCCTTGGGTTTTCAAGGTGGTATCTCTACAGAAGTAGATTGCCCAACCTTCCTTCCAAGGAGTGGCTGGTGGGTTTGAACCTCCAGCCTTCTGGTTAGCAGTCAAGTGCCTTAGGCACTATGCTA